TGTGAACCACTGAGGGGGTAAACTACGTACTTGTGACCCTGTTTCTAAATGATCTTGAATATATCTTTGGTTTTTCCTGCACTGCAAAGTTATTTATAGCCCAGCACATACCTCAGCGAAACATCTGCAATAAGACAATGTCTGCCAGTATGAGTAGCTCTTGTCAAAAAGTTTTGCTCCCATTTGCCAATATTTTTGTCAGTATCCAGTAACAGTGCAATCAGGAACCACTACATAGGTGATGCAGTCTGACAGAAATACTGCGGGCTGGATAGAGCAATCAGATTGGTGGGACATTGTGGTGCAGAGCTCAGACTCAGTGCAGCAGGACAGCAGTGTGGTTGATAACCTCAGAACTAGGCAGAGTCAGCACCACGCACCGCTACTGGACGCATACATCAACCTCAGCGCCACAGACAGCCATTTGATGTATCACACTATCAACATTTGTCAACAAAACCTCCCTTTGCCCCCGAGTGTAGATTATTCACCTCAATATATCACAATATAATTAATTCAGATCTAGTAAAACTGGCTGTAATCCGATGAAAGAAAAACCTGCATTGTCAGCACACTGAACTCTCAAACCTCAAACTAATTCTTCAAAACTGAGGAATGATCATCTTGTAATTATTAGCAAACAATATAAATATTTTAAAAGAGCATATGAACTATGAGCTGCAGCATTTATGTCTTCTTCTTAGAGGAGCTCCTCGGTAGAAGCCAGCCTTGACATTTTAATCCAATAGCGCCTCGTCGGAGTCAAGGTTAGACTGGCAGTGAGTCATCACCATGGTTAGTCACTCTCACTGACAGCAGACAGCTTCTATACCAAGAAACTATACTGACAGCTCTGTGTTTCCCCTTTTTATAATGTCAAAATATGCACGCACAAACACAACATACACTCTCCTCAAGGTGCCAAGAAAATGTTCTTCAGCGCTAATCCTTCCATTTCACAGTCAAGGTCGATTTGGATCAGCTATACATCACAATTCCAAATCCCTTTTTTCGACTTGGACGCTGTAATTGTATTAATGCTTCAGGCAGGAATGGAGGTCAGGAAGCGGCGTCCTTATGATGTGTTTTTGGCAACTCCTTGAGTACGAATGTGGTAGAAAGAATATCACCTCTGAGTCACACGGCACTCATGAAATCGACAGTCTTTATTATTTTCCTGCGAATTGAACTGATTTCTATAACAAAGACGCTGCTCCCCGTTATCTCCCTCGCCTCCTTCTCCACTCCTTCCTCCTCCCACAACAGCCGGTACACTTTCCCTCAATGTAACCACAGAACTGACCACCTTTTTTTGCGCCGGACACTCAGAGTATTCTCTCAACCTGTCGCAGCCGTACGTTAATAAGCAGGCGAATGAAGTGTTAAAAGCTTCACGGTGGGCTTTCATGGTGGCGGGGTGTTTATATTTCTGCCAGCAGTGCCGGGGGAGAAAACTCAATTATCCAGAGTGGAGGCATTAGAGCGATGATTGGTGTACGTGTGGCTCATGTGTGTTTGGGTGGATGTCTGCCATTATCTGTTCACAGTTCGTACACAGTCACATCCAGGGAGTAATAAAGTCTATACAAATCCCCGCTACACAAATAACCTAATTGAACTCTACCGACTTCCCACTACCAAACAAAGCTACAAATAGAAGCAGCGAGGGTGCATCGAGCAATTGACAGCTTATTGATCTGCTTGTCATCTTTTGTCTTACTTGTCTTACTTGTCAGAGCGAGAGCTGTTTTACCATAAAAAAGTAAACTTTCATAAGGAGTTGTGGGTATTAATACAAATTAATGTACACGATTTATAAAATGAAAGAAAAAGAAATGTAATGTATGTGAGTTCATTCATCTTTTTAGCCATGCTAGCGGCAGGACTCTAGAGTTAATGTCAGTCCATCCACCACTTTGATCCAGACTGAAATAGACTTTTCAACAAGCTTAGCATATATATATATATATATATATATATATCTAAGTACAGGAAAGGAGAAGTTGACCGTGTTTCCAAAAGGGGCAGCACTTAAGAAGGATCACTGTGTTTTTGTTGTTAACTCCCGGGTTACTGTACCATAAGACAACAGTAACACCAGTAGGTCAAAGTTTTCACTTTCCTGTGAAATATGTTGCACTTAATTGGTTTTAAACTCACAGAGCCGCTAGCAGTGCTGTAGACTTTGTCAAAGGTCCAGTGCGTACGATTTAGTGACATCTAGCAGTGTATTTGTTACAACCCTGTCGCCTCACCGTCCTAGGAGAAACTAAGGTGTTATACACCGGTCCTTTAAATGTGTAATACGTCTTTATGAGCCAATATATAAAATATTAAAGGATGATTTCCATAAATCTTGAAATCTTGGCCACTGCGTGTCAATCCCACAACTTACATATCTTCTCTTTTTTCTTATGATCTGATCTGAATTTATTTAGGCCCACACGAAAAACATCACTTAAATAACTTCTGGAATCCTGCCAGTGTTCAGTCAATTCTCACGCTTACATCCTGAAAAGGTTACATACGCCTTTATCCCTAACAGGCTCCACTCGTGTAATGCTCTTTGTTCTGGTCTGCCAAAGAAAGATTTGAATAAACTAAAGATTATCATAATGCTGTAGCCCGAGTGCTGACTAAGACCAGAGGAAGAGAACATGTTACACCTGTTTCAAAGTCGATGTGTTGGCTCCAGGTTAGTTTAGGCATTAAAATTCTGCTCTTAGGTTTTAAATCACTCAACAGTATAACACCTGAATACATATCAGACACGCTTTTGAGCTACATCCCTTTTTAGACGCCTCAGTTCCTCCAAATCGGGTCTTTAAGTTGTCCTTGGGGTCAGGATTAAGACCTGTGCTGAAGCAGGTGGATCAGGCTGCAAGAGGACCCCGGGGCCACAGTCTCAGTTCATGTCTTTATGTGTTCATCCCTCTCTCTTCTTCATCAGTATCAACCCCTTTTTACTTAGTTAAATGGATTCACCAGCAAAGTAACAAATATTGACCGCTCAGTAATGGAATGAAGATTGAACAACCAGGGCCTCCACACACGAACAGCGCGGAGAGGAGGAGGTGACTGTAACACCATTACAGTCAATTTGTAATTATAGGAGTCCCTGCGATTAGAGGTAATTAATGTGCTCCCTTTAATTAAAGGAATAAAAGGTATGGTTTTTACTGATCCACGGCACAAAAAGACCAATGATCAATACCAGTAAATAAGAGAGATTAGTGGCTTTTAAAACTCACTTTCTCATCCTTGACAGAACCTCCCACTGGAGTTTCAGCACACATCTACTTGTGTTTTTACACGCTCAGCGAGTAAGAACTGAGCATCAGCGATGAACAGTAAAAGTCTTTAATGTTTTAGTGAACATAGCACAGAGCTTTATGGTAGGCTTGCTGCAGTAGTCGGTGTTACCAGTGTTACCTCAGGCGGATCGAGAAATATCCATGTGATGGCAAAAGGGTTGCACAGAGACTTTAGAGGGCGGAAGAACTATCTGCTGATTTAATCGCTAACAATCATATATATCAATATCTGCTTGGGGAAAAAAAACAAATAAACATATGTGATCTCATATAAATATGAAATATTACATTATATTAGTAAATATTGGATAGAAATATCTCGTCATTTTGCTTAGTTTAGTTAAATAAATAAGTTCATTTTTGTTTGTCAGTGCCCATGTTCATCAGATAAAAAAACTCTAATTTGTGGAATAATATTTATGTTATCATTACATAGTCGGACGACAAGATGCTACGATTATTAACTACAAGTGTCGCTTTGTAGATCAGCAGCACGCAGTCGAAGGGGTCACCGTGTTATCACGTGAGGGGAGTGAGGAGAGTGGACTGACGAGACGTTGGCGGAGGATTTGATCTTAAAATAGCAAAAGTTTGGTTTTAAACCCAATGCTAATTGGTTAACGTTAACGCAGCAATCTGTAAACTTTGTCTGACGAAGGTGGCAGCATCTGTAGGCAACACACACTCCTCCACAAGAGTGAGGCTACCAGAATGATGAGATCAAAGTAGGAGCTCTACAGATATTGAGATACTGTAAAATGTGCGGTGTTATCAGTAACACAAGTTTATTGACCGGTTTATGTTTTTAGATCAGAAGGAGGATAAGGGAGACGTTTAATAAACCTTATTTCAGAAATAAACCTGTTTACAGCCTGGAATAAGTAACGGTTTTGGTCTCTGTAGCTAAATGAGGCCTAAATTACATTAAGCTTTGAAGTTATGCATAATTAAGGGCAAGGTTACTTTGAGTGACAGGTGGGTGCTGTCACAGGTGGCTGTTTACTGTTCACTAACCAGGCTTCATTCTGGGGACTGGGGACTATTATAGGACAGGATGGTAATAACCAGGCTCTGAAATGACAGCAAGAGTTAGTAGACTGACACTGGAGGAAAAATGATGCTGAATATTAAAAGCTGCTGTTTGACACGAGAGAGAGATACAGAACTAAATACAGCGTGAACAACATTATCATCCATCCGCTCACAGAGATCTCGTCATTAATGAACCGTAGGACTTTTGTTGTGCATTCTGGGCTATTTAAGTGTTACCATAAAAACAGCATGGGTGCCCCCTTTCAAACGCAGTTGGCATCTAAGACTGCTGTCCGCCAACCCGGAGCGAGCTTCATTTTAATATTCAGGGCTCTGTTCGTTCCGTGAATCATTTCCCAGAGGCATTACATATTGGCGAATTAAAATGCCACAGATGTTGCTGTCAACCTTCTATGAATATCATTTTAGATGTTCCTCGTTGATGGGTTCTAGTTATAATCCGCAAAATGGCATCTTAACACTTTACAGACGGAGAAAAATGGGTTGAACTCAGTATGAACAGCAGTTTTCTTGTCTACAGTGGTGAGCTTTTATGGCTTTGTGTAATAATGAAAATGAGATCTCGACTCTATCGAAGACTGCTGATGGAAATAGCAGCTGTGTTTTCTTCTTTTTGATTTTAAACATGACCTGTTACTGACCTACATCATCAGTTGGATTGTATATTAATCATTTATCTGGATATTATTTTAGACACAGCTAATTCTAGGGTTGCAAAGTTGGAAAATGTTTATTTTAGGGAGAATAAGAGGCAGTTTACATGACAACATACATTATTAGTGAGGTTTATACACAGCTACACTAACAGGCACCACACTGAAACAAATTCATTGCCAATACAACATATTGTCAGTATATAACAGGGTTCCCAGGCATCCTGGATAACCTGGACATTTATTGACAAAAATTACAAAATATGCTGGAAATAATCTTTAACTGTTATTTTATGTCTGTGCTGTGGCCAGATCAATGTTACAGTAGTCAGTTAAGAGGCTGTGGTGAGACCACCGTTTATGAACAAGTGCTGTCCTGTATCGTCAAGGAAAAATTTCCTGGAAAGGTCCTGAAAAAATATTTCTTAAAAAAACCCTGTATAGACAGTAAGATATGGCCATTTTGCATTTTTGAGTGTCTTGACAATCACTGTTAATGAAATGTGTATCATTATCATCACTATTATTATTATTTGCAACAGAGATATGAAGGAAACAAGATGGCTCACTCAGTACTTCAGTTATCAGCTCTGTTACGATGCATTATTGTATTATTTTATGTAACATTTCCTTACTGCTCAGTATTAGCTAACGCAGCAAAAATAACTTAACCAAACTTTGGCGCCACTTTTGCTAATATTAGCTAACTTATCTGTACATATGGCCCATGTATGTCTCACACATGCTTATATATGTGATGTACATATCAGACTTAATCAATAACATTCTGAATTAAACACTTTTCTACTTGAACCTGAACCGATGATGAGTGAACTCAACGGAAACCAGTGAGCCGGCTTGTTTTATTTCCCTCTCTGTTGAGGGTTGCACATGCACAGTACGGAGGGGGCAGCGACAAGGGAAAACTTACTAAAAACCTACTTAATATTGGCTCTAGCAGCTGAATCCATAAATATTAATAACATCATTCCAATTATAGTATCTTTAGGTATAAATGACGTTGCAGGGAAACTCACTGTGATCAATGCTAAAAGTTGTCGTCATGACACTCGACACGACAAACGTCTGTTGGATTGTGGATCCAGTTGACAGCAGTGAATGTTATTACCAAAAAAATAAAAGCATATTTCCCATAAACCCACTGCTACAAACACTTCACACATCAACAACAGCTTTTTTCTGCCAGAGTAAACGTTCGAATGCCAGCAGTGTAACGTTAGCAGGTCTGTCCTCAGTGTGTGTGTGTGTGTGTGTGTGTGTCGTGGCAGCCCTCCAGTCAGCAGTGTAATGCCCGATGCTAATACTGTGTGTGTAGTCAGTTTTCTTTGCTAATATTCTAATATGTATTCTGGTTAAGTTGTTTGTTTGAATTCTTGTAATGAAGCCAACAACAGCTGGATGAAGCTGACTGAACACAATGTAATTAATTGCCTAATTTAAATGAACAATTAGCACATCCTTCTGTTTGACTAAAAAGTTTAGTTAAGACTCTTGTTTCCTCCACATAGAGCAGTGGTTCCCAATCTGGGGATCAGAAGCCCCATTAGAGGTCGCCAAAGCTTCATGGAGGGGTCGCGAGGCCTTCTTGATTTTAAGGGATGTAAGAAAACTTTACAAATGCACACAGTAGACATATATATGTCAGCATTTGGTTCACTTCTGTGAAGAAAAGTAATAGCAAACACTGAATTTGTCAAAAAAAGAAGCCTATTAAATATGTATGACTGTTAAAAATGATTAAATACATAATACAGACAGATAATTGTATAAAAAGTACAGTAAATAGGAAATAATCTGCTCAAAATTCATCCAAATCACTCGTTTCACACAAACTTCCTGCAGTTACTGAGTTCACTGTTTGGGTTCATTGTACAGTTTTGAATATAATACAAAATATTCATAAACTATGTCACTTATATCAGGAGTCTTCAGTTTACTAAATGATAGAAACGGGGTCTCTTAAGGAAAGAGGTTGGGAACCACTGATATATAGAACGTGACGGGTTGAAGTCAAGGGTTTCATCTTGGGTCAAGCTTGTTTGGAAAGTTTTAGTACATGGTGGGAAGTGCTGGTTGACACTGTCCTTAAAACACCTAATTATCATGTTTAGTTTTTTACTAATTTCTTATTTTTGTGCAGCCATCATTAACATATGTCAAACTAAATACCAGCAATAAAAAAGAAAAAGATTGTTAATTTCATCAGACGGTGAGTTTTCTGAACAGAAATCCATCAATACTGTCAGGAAACCTTTTAGGAAACATTTACCTCTATTACTGTCAAAAACTGTACAGTAGAAATAGAGAACTGTCGATATTATAATGCATTCTGACAGTGCAGGTGACTTTTTTTGTGACTTCTGATTGAATTTGGTTACAGTCAATAGTTCTGCACATAAACCCATTAAAACTGTCCGCTGATCTTTTAAAGAACATTTTCTATCATACTTCTATTATGAGGGACAATTGTCTATGTTTTTAATGTATTTGGACACAGGATGTGAAACCTGTACAGTAGAAACAGTCAGATTTATATTCTTGGCTGACGTTTCAGTGCAGTTTAAGTCAGTATAATGATTGGCCAGTTTCTCTTTCAGCTCTTCTAGAGGATTTAAATTGTTACTAAAATACTTCCCTATCTCTCCCTGCCTTACTTTCCCAATTTCATATCTCCCTTCCCTCTTACTTCTCTCTCCCACTCCATCAACTCCTCCTACGTCTTAAACTTTTCATCAACAAATTATCCTCTTTCTCTTCCTCTCTTTTTCTCTACCCTATTTCCCTCCCACTCTCTCCCTCTGGCCCTCCCACTCTTCCTCATTCTCTCTGTTTTCCTGGCCTCTCTCTTTGTTCCTTTCTGTCTTTCCTCTCTCACCCTCCCTTGCCCCCCCTCTCACATCTCTCCATCAGGACTTGGAGGAGCGTCTGCGCCACCATCACCATGCAGAGCTGCAGTCTCTGAGAGAGGCTCACCGCCAGAGCATCGAGACGCTCAAACAGCAGTCAGAACAGGAGCTGCAGACGCTCCGCTTTGAACTGGAGGACGAGGGCAAAGCCATGCTGGGTAAGGTCTTAGAGAGGCTGTGTGTGGGGACATGCATTAAAACGATTCACCCTCCCATGACCCGCTGGCACATTTTCTTAGGGATGCACAGATTTGGGGGTTTCTTGGTCACAGTTTGCTCTGAATATACCGTGAAAACTGAAAGTTATACAGAAAGAAAGTGCTGAAAAGTAAAAACTCTGTCCTTTCATGTATCAAATAGTGATATAAGACTGTTACTTTGCTGTTATGTGTCTGTCTGAATGTAGCTAGAATACAGAAGTACAGTTTCATAATGTATGTTTTGAATAATAACATTTAGAGGCAGCGTATTTGTCCCGTCATGTCATCACATAAACAAGCTATCAGTTAGCATAACTAACTATGTCACTATACTTGTCTTTGCATAATACATTGGTGGTCTTTAAACTCCCTTGATTGATTATGATACTCTAAAACATAAGAAATTTCATAGCTAGTGAGTAAAGCCTTAAAGATTTTTTTTATTTTATTTATTTATATCTGCAAACATGGAAGGAAGTATGTGCAAATATGTTAGTCCAGTTAGCAAACGTTACACAACAGTTAGGCTACATGTAAGTTATTGGGTCTAAATATTTATCTCTACCTGCAAGCCATTTTGATTTAGATTTCAATTTGATTTAAATATCCACTTTGTAAGCATTTGCAATATAACTAGGCTAACTTTGAACTTGAGAGTATATACAGTTATTGTAGTTTTAAACTTTAGTTTTTCTCATCAATAAACAACTTTATGTAACAAATCCCTTGAAGAGTTTATTGGTCAACAGCTCAACATTGCATACGGGGCACTACGTACATTAATGTGGTCAAAGTCTCACATTTGCTCAAACTGACTGCATTTCAAGTCAGTTTCAGACAATATCACCCATAGAAATTATTATAAAATGTTAATGATTGTTTATATCAGGAGCACAGTGGAAGCCCTTGATACCTCTATCACAGATTGCTTTCTTTCTTAAGGCGGTGCAGTAATATGAAGGAAATACAAAAAGGTGCAGTCTGTCTTTTATATAGAATAACGGGATGTAGGAACAGTAGTTTGCGAATCACAATGAGCAGAGATCTAAAGTAAAGATAGACCAACGCAGCTGGAGAGTGCAGTAGAATGTCAGTCTTACCCAGTTTTAAGTGCTTACACATCAGTACTGTGCTGTGAAAGATGGTCCTCCATTAACCTTCATGTCCTGGTCCTGACACCGGAGAGCTGCTTCCATCTATCTCTCACTTCCCACATCCTGACATCCTTTTATTACCTTTTTTTCCCCCCTCTCTTCATCTCTACTTCCTGTCCGTGAAGTGCCTGCTCACGTGGGCGTGGATGTGAACATTACACGTTTTTCTCATTCTGCATTTGCAGTGGTCAGTCAGACGTAATCTCAACTTTCAACGGCTGCACCAGTTTTCTTCTGACACTTTTAAATTGGTCTTATATTCAAATAGAAAGCTAATAGCACTGTGTTCCCTCCCGATGCTTCTCCAAACCATTACACCGTTTGCAATGAAAGGTGTTCATTGGAGTGAGGATTAAAGGCCACTTGGGTAAAAGGTAGCCGAAGCTCTCTGCTTGTGCAAAATAAAAAAGGCTTCATTTATTTATTTTGTCATAAAAATGCCATTGCATGTAATGAGCACTTTTTGCAAGCCGACTTAAGGTTAGAGGAAGCTTTTTAACAAGCCTGAAAACCCCTGAATCTGTGATGTGCAAATAAGCTGTGTTTCCTTGTGTGTGATGTATTTGTACCAATGAATTATTCCTTCCTTTTCTTCCCATCGCATTTTCCCCCTTCCCATCAGCCTCTCTGCGATCGGAGTTGAACCACATCCACGCATCAGCCATCGAACACCTGAGACAAACCCACCAGCAGGAGTCAGCTGCTGCCAAAAAGGAGCTGGAGAAAACACTGGAAAACAACCGGACACAGGTAGGACTCCACACGTTGGCATCGCTTCTTTTATTTTAATGAATATAAATCAAATCTTTACACACAAAAACACGTCTGTAGGGTTGATTATGATACTCTGAACTCTAATTTAGTGGCCATCTGTGCTCTCATCACCACCTTCATGTTTCTGTTGGCACAAGCCGTCACTTGGCCACCACATGGAAACAAAGCTGATGCATGAGTTTCTAGTCAAGTATGAATCCTCCCAAACAAACCAGCATGTTCTCCTTTCTTTCTCGGCCAGAGTAAAGAACGTGTGATTAGAATAAATAAAATAATAAATCCACAATGTTTAGACACCTCTGAATAGGACGTCTCTTTCACACTATCAAACACATTCACCCGACTGCAATCTCTCAGGAAGCTGAGAAAGAAAGAGTCTTCATTCCCTCTCTCAGGATTTACTGAGAAGAAATTTAAGCTGTTTGCAATGCCGAAATGTTTGGAATAAAGCTTAAAGTTACAATTCAAAAGATTTCAGTCCAGTTTGATTTAGTGACACCCATCGCTGCGGCAACTGTAGGTCCTCTGGGGGCAGCGAGCAGTCGTTGAGCAGGTACTTTTTCAGAAATCCAACAGAAGAGCAACAGAAGTGAATCTGTTCATGCAGTCTGGTTTTATTCTGTGAACAGTGCAACTGGGAACAGTAAAGCTGGTTGTTGCCTGCAGCTCTTCGTCTAACAGCACTCCCTGTGAAAAAATGACCCTCGTTGTCTTGTTGTGAAAACGCACTATTGATGAAAGTCCACCCCGTGTTTCGCCAGTTGAAGGCTTTTAATGTGAAGCAGCAGCAGTAGAAAATGTTCGGTTTCCATTAATACAGCAGTGACAAGGTGTAAACACTGAGGCTGATATCAAATGGGTTGAAATGGCGCAGGATTACGTTGCAGTTTGAATCCAGTACTGGAATGGCGGACTCCGCCACTAACAATTAAAACTATTATATAGAAAGGTAATTACTTAATGTAAATATAAATGCAAATAATGGCTAATGCAGACCTCAAATAATAATAATATCAAGAACAAGGTTTGATTTTATTAAAAATCTTTAGGATTTTAACTTTCAAATTTTACAGTTGCTATTAGTCAATTATTGATCAATAAAAAATAAATGAACATGAATAATTAATTGAATATACCTTTGGGTATTGGACTGTTAGATAAAAGAAGCTATTTGAAACCATTACAGTGAGCAGTCTGTATTATTTCTGACATTTTAAAGACTAAACACAAACAAATAGTTGAGACGTTTATATTTTTGTGGTTTTACTTATTTGTTTTTAATGTTTACCTGTTTCGGCTGTCAGACATTAAATGGGGATGAAGGCTATGTGAGCCAGAGTGCTTCACATAACATCTGCCGCACAAACACACACAGACACACACAAACACACGCACACAAACACACACACACACACACAGATACACAAACACACACACACAAACACACACACACACACACACCAACTACACCACCCGGCAGGCTCCCCTCTTACCATCTCTTGTAAATCTTACTAATTACCCCAAACACCGTGGGTTTCTCTCTTATCACCTTGTGATACAGATGTTCTGGCTGAGAAGCACAGCTGGTTGTCTTCAATACCCTTCACACACGCCACCATCAGCCCCTCTCATCTTTAGTTGCCAAAGCAATATGGAGTCAATAAAGGCTAATAGGAGTGTTTCAGTCTGAACTGCCTGTCAATCATCAGGCTGTAGCAAAGACTGTAGAGTTCAGATCTCAGTTGCTTCTGCAGCACACAAGCTTCTTTTGGAGTAAATTGATGTTCATTGAGTCCGATTTGGTCCCAGGCGAACATGTGAGAAGATTTAGTTGTTTATTTGGTGAATAGCTTTTACTCTGTATTGATTACTGTGGACTATTGATCTGTCTACACTATAAGTGTGGTGGTACAAACAGTGGGAAGGAGATGATGCATAATATAAATCCTGTAAGCAACATGATATAACGTGTCCCAACACTGTTTTTATTCTCTACGTATGTATTGGAATAACTCAAAAAAGATGCAATAGGCTGGCTGTTTTGGATTTTATTTCTAGTGCTGGCCTATAAAAAACTAATTCTTTTTCCCATGCAAACTGTCACAAAGCGGTGCCGAACAGCCTTGACAAAAGACTTATTTAAGACAGCCAATTAACAAATTATTTATTAAAAAAAAGAATAAACTAAGAAGAGAACTTAAACTGAAATCAGGAAGCTCAGCAGTGTAGGTGGGTGCATGAGTAGAGAGCAACACAAGCCAAACAAAAACCAGATGTGTGTCTCAGGGAGGAGAGACAACCAGTACTGAGCTCCAGAAGGGGTTTTTGAAGGAGCACTGGCCCCAGGTGCTGCTGATGACCCTCTGTCACGGCCCACCTCCAGTACCTGCACAGACACACAAACACATCTCAAATCCTATCATCTTCACAGTTGAACAGCTCAGCTCAGACTGACGCTTTGGCTGAAATATTCCTGAATAAAGACTTTTTTTTTAGCATTTTTTGACTTTATTTCAGGCATACAATGTGAGGGCAGAGAGATATGGGACCACGTGCAACAGAGGATTTTAATTGGGGACATTGCAGTTATGTTATATGTATATGTAGGATAGGTCACTGTTTGGCCTAATTTGACAGTGACTTTATCCTTTCTGTCCTTTTACCATCTGTTTGTATCTCCCTTTGTGCTTCAAAATAATCCTCCAGATTTCCTGGCACAAGCTGCAGCCCGCTCAGTGAATTTCCATTTGGGCTAAAAAAGTTGGTAAAACATAGTGTAAGAAAACAGAACGCCTTATTTAATGATTTATTCATGTTAAAATGGTGCATGCACAGTGTTTGAATCCAGAGACGTTGAGAGTTTGTGTTTACATTAATTCCTTGTTTACTATACCGAAGCCCTAATGGCACATAAACTGACACTTCCTGAGTTGAGTCATCAGAGAGGAAAAGCTCAGCAGCCGACAGTCCTCACGCTGTGTTAAATAATGTTTTTACACCTCCAATTACGTAACAGACAGGGAGGAAGAGGCCGATGAAGTGTGGGGTTGTGTGTGTGTGTGTGACACTTACAGTAACTCACGACATCCGATATCTATTCTGTTCTATTTGTGTGATATTGGTCTATTTCTGATGTTTTTTTGTGTTCCTGACAAAGTGAATCCACTTTGAGCTTGAAATTATTATTTTTATCGATATATGTGATGTATTTTAGAAGTGCTGTCATTTTCTCTTGTAGCTCAGTCCAATATTTTAATATTTCACCATCATTCGTTTCCTCTCCTCTTTTATTGGTTGCTTTAAATGGGCAGTTGTGATTGGCGTGAAGCTGATTTTGAAATCCAATTGTTTATTAATGAGAAAGCCTGATAGCTGATAGCTAAATCCTACACACAGGACCTTTAATGATTGCTAAAAATGGTAGGGTGTGAACTTTTTTTGACTTTCTAAAGTGGGGTACACCAGAAAAGGTTTGAGAACCACTGATATAGACAGTTCAACATCAGAACTGTCCATTGAAACCAAGGACACACATCATAAGTTCAGATGAATGTTTTTCTATAAAGAACCAGTTAATACCATCCAATAAATGTCCAACCATCATCAATACACTTTGTTTCCATTTTCAGTAGATCAGGAATTCACACCCTGGATCAGTCTGGAGACTCGGCCCACTAATGTCCTCGCTTGATGAATACTTGCAGAACTTATTTATTTTTCAAAGAGTTAAAAATGAGAATAGAGAGCAAAAACTGGTGCAGAGATTCTCCTTTACAGCGCTGTTTGTTTATTTAACTGACATGTTTGGAGGGGAAAATGAGATCACAATAAGAGATGGTGAAAGAGAGGACAGAAAGTGATGACAGAGTGACAGACAGAGCATGAGAGAAGATGAAGAAATAGGGCTCCAAACAGCCCAAAGTGAACACCAGCAGTTTTATCTCGCCGCTTGTCTGCCCATGAATGTGAACAGCGAACAGATATCGTCTCTAATTTGATTAGATTAGACCTCAGAAGAAAGTCCCTGTGCATTACGTACCCTTCAAATCATCCTGGATGCGCTGAAAGAAACCAATTTTGGTTCATTTTCTTTATTTCTTTTGCTCCTTTTCCTTTCTTTTATTCTGCCAGCTTTTTTTTTATCCACTTCTCGTTTGCTTGTTTTTTTATTTTATTGTTTGTTGTTTGCTTTTGTGTCTCGTCTCTTCCCAGAATGAAGCCAGGAGTTTGACAAGCTAGAGAGTGAAATGAGTAAATGGAAGTCATTAAAGATTAATCTGCCCTGTCCCCATTGTGCTCAGTTGTGCCACAAGGTTTATTGACAACAGAAATCTGCCAATGACATTAAATTAAATGTTGAGGGAGACTCCGATAGAGACGGATAGCGAGACAGGAGTTTGTGACCATGAGACGATTATACAAGATTATGGCTTTTGGATATATGAACATAGCTCTTGGCACAAATTGTTATAGAGACAAGTGAAATGAGATTTTTGCAGAGTGGAGAATCATTAGTGGACAATAACTCGAAACATTTTTAATCTAATTCTGATGGAGTTAAGTGGCCCTCGACTGAGAGTCCTCACATCACATCTTTGCCTTTCTTTGCCTCTTCATTCGGATCTCTAATCATAAGGATCAATTTGGCAAACAAGGCCCACTCAGCTCCCCATTACGATGTGGATTTTACCACTGAACCTGGCAGGTCTGTGTGTTGATGGCTGCTTAACGACAAGATAAGAGGTACATAGGATCAAAAACTCTTGACTGAGAAACAACTTTATTAACAATTTTTCAGTCATTAGACCTTTATCAGGTAAAATTCAGACTGATTCAGACTCTATATATCTCTTACTGTCAGCAATTCCTATAAAAAGACCCACATTAACAATGTGTAAGTCCATCTTTCAGTATGATCTGTCTTCCTGAGCTTGACTTTGGCCTCAACCCAACTGTTCCCTGCTGTAGACACAAATCTTTAGAAGTTGGTCACAGGTGAAGTTTAAATTTCTTAAAAACTGCCCAGTAATTTCCTTAAACAGCTGGTCATTGTAGTTTTTATTAAACTCAAACCAGAGTGAAGGGTTTTTTTCAGCCAAGGATTAATACACATTTTGTACTCTAGTGTTGAGGTTTTACTAACAAGTTAACAATAACGTAAGTCAAAACAAAACGTTGTGTCTTCCCTAATGTAACGTTAGAATGGATTACAACTTTAAAAACCATAATGTTTTAGATTATGAGTCACTTATTTAAGCGGCGTCCTTATACTGGGCTTATTGTAAAGTCGGGCGTGTTGCGTGATGTCTTTATGTGACTGTTTGATTGAACCTACGCGTATCTCTCTCTCACCCCTGTGGAGAAAACCACTTGTTCGTTTTGTCGCCTTCAAATCATGACTAATGTAAACCAGATCTTTTGTGTGATTGTGGAGCTCAGAAGAAAAGAGCAGCTCTGCGGGGGGGGCGTAATTTGGATAGACGGTGTTTACATGGACGTCATTCAGTGATTCTGAGAAACTCTGAGGATTCATGAGCTTTGAGTGATTTGCATTCTTGTACAGTGCGGTACATTTGTGAATGAAGTGAATCTTTCAGAAGACATAGCTGGTATACTCGCTAACTTTACAGGCTGCATGTTAGCAGGTTGCTTTTGTAGTAGTCAGCGACACTGCAACGGCCCTTAAGTAATAAAGTCAAGTGCAATACATATTGTAATTTCAGAAGCAAACAGCCAGTTAGGCCTCGTTTACACACGGGTATTTATGATTTAAATACATTGTTGGGTAGTAAATGAATGTTAACATTCATTGTCAGTTCATTCATTAACATTCATTGTCAGTTTATCAGCATTTAACAGCCAGTGTGGAACTTTGATTCACTGGTTGTAGATTAATCATCTCATTTAATTATGGGCCCAGTTTGTGCTGTTGATTAGAAACTGTGGATCCTTTAGTGGACACGTCTGCCCCAGAACTTTGGCTTTAAATCTGATAAATACAGAAACAATAGCCTCATTAAAAGAAGGAGTGAAATGTCCAGTTTTTAGTTCCAGTTATAGTCCAGTTTAGTTACAGACCAATATACTTACTGTACTGTACACCTAGTGACACAACCGTATTAAATCCTATGTTTTGTAGTTAATCTTATTCAGATTTTCTTCAAAGTCATTTAAAGACTATGTTGTTATGTGACTGTGTGTGTAGCGTTATAAGGACAGATTGCTTTATATATTCAAGGTTTCAGGGTTATTACACAGGGCTGCATAATTACATTCAGGTATAGTTCCCTCTATGCTACTTGTACAATAAAATAAAAATGGATTAATAAGTCATAAAAATAAAAGCATTACAGCATGAGGGTGCTATCTTTTAGTATCCTTTGGGTTCTGCCTCACCTCACAGATATCACTGATGCTGGGTAGCTGGGCCGTGCACATCCCATAATGCCAGTTTGTGATGTTTCCACTATAATTAGACATATGGTGCCGGTCGGTTCATGTGAATCAGACTGTGCTAACAACTGATGGTTTCTCCACTAAAAATTGAGTAAATAAGTAAATTGCTCTGTCCTCGAATTTATTTTGAAAATCCGATAGAGGTCTGTAGAGCGAGTGACGCTGTAATTAAAAATCATTAGTGGAAACAGTGGTACCTCAGCTCTTTAAAACATGAGAATGAACAACTCTGATTGTTTTTTTAAATCCCAGGAGCGTGAGCTGTTGGGCCGGATCACTGAGCTGCAGGAGGAGGTCTCCAGGAGGAAGAACCACATCGCCCAGCTGGACCACCAGATCCACACACTCAATGAGAATATCAGCACTCTGACTAAAGAGCTGGAGCTCAAGGGCAAGGAAGTGCTCAAGATCCGCAGCGAGGCCAATCAGCAGATCAGGTATGACTCAGCGCTCAGAGCACAACTCAAACACAACACAAAAGAATACAATACTGGAATGAAAGCCTCGGTTCAAACTCAAGTTCAGAGCCAACGTAGAGAGTTTGATGTTTCCTGGAAGCTACCGATTCGATTCCAGGCCCGTAACGTTTGGCAAGGGCAAAACCAGAGCAGAGATTTATTTCAACTGACCTCCAAACTTGTTCAAACACTTCAGTCGTCCGAGCTGTTCATACTGTAAAGTGGTTTCCTTTATGCAAACTCTGTGTCAAGATCCTCATCGTGTACTGTATATTAGAACAGTGACTTATAGGCCAAACAGACATCATCCTTTTCCTCCATTTCTGATGTGTCCTCTCCTTTCTGTGTGTCAGTTTCTGTCTCTATCTGAAATATTCATAGTCACACAGTTGGACTCTGCATCCACAGCCCAAGAAGCGTAGACCCGGGTGTGCGCTCACAATGCTGTTTGTCTTAATACACTGTAACCTGGCAACCAAGCCACTGAATATTTTTTCTCATGCATTCTGAGTGATGGTCCTTGAGTTCCTTGTTTCTCATTTTCTTTGCCTCCATTGTGGGCACTAAGCACTTGATGACTTAGTGGTCATCACTAGCCTTATTTCAGTTACCAATCAAATAGGGTTTATACCATAATGTCTTTTATTGGGAATTTTCTGCTTATAAAGACGTCGAATAGTAAGAACCAGGAATTCAGTTAGTAAAGAAATATTTCACCATGTTGGGAAATATTCATATTTGCTTTCTTTCAGAGAGTTAGATGTAAGGTTTGATACCACTCACATGCATTAATTGCCTTATGAGCTCCAGCTTATCATAGCTTAGCATAAAGGCTGAAAGTGGGGGAAACAGCTCGCTTTGCTGTGTCTGAAATTCAAAAATGCACCTACCAGGTCCCGACCCAGACCTATAACCAATAAATTATTGAGAATTATTCAATTATTTAAATGACAAAGCGCTTTAATTTTAACCGGTGCACCTTTTCTAGCTTTTACAGCACTGGTTTAACGACAGAGGAAACTCACAGACCAACTTGCATGCATTGTAAATCAACATGATGCTGCCCAGCCAATCAGATCTGTGCATTCTGATGAGCATTGACGAATCCATGGCGCTCTCCAGTTTGGTCTTGGATCTATAATATTTTCCAAAACTGTAGAAGCTTTTATAAGCAGTTACTAAAAATAACTTTACTAGGTTCTCACCCTACTGTAGTAAGTAAAATACAGAGCAACAACATTAGAACATTAAGCAACACATCATTACTGACATTTCAGGATAGCATTGACACCCACACACACACACACACACACATGCACACACACTCAACCCTCTCCGCTCCCGGTGGCCCCTGTCATCAGTGCATGTTGCTGAATATATTATATTTGGATGACGATAGTTGCTGCAATCCTTCTCCTGCTCCAGTCCTGAGGAAACAACACCAAGATGAAAGAGAGAAGACCAAACGAGACAAATCCGTCTCTCTCACTGTCTTTGTCTCTCTCTTTGTCTCTCTCGGCCAGTGTCAGCGGCCCATTGATTAGGAGATGTGAGGGTTATTTAGGGTAAAAGCAAAATGGAATCTATAATCATGTTGTTCCCCGCGGCATCTTATGAATTTTTTAAAGTGCTGTATGGCTAATGTGGTCCAGCTACTCATTAGCATCAATCTGTAGCCGTGGATTTACATGTGTGTGTGTTTGATGACTGCTCCCATGATGCTTTATTCTTTTACGTTAATGCGCCGCTAGCCTTTATGTACATGCGTCCTCTCTCTCTCTCTCTCTTCTGCGTCGCTGTAAGGCGCCTGCGCAGCACATTTCTCCTTCTGTTACGTAACTCCTCGTCTGAATCCTGGTCACAGGGATAAAAATAGGCTGATAAATAAATAAAGAGGAAGCAGAGAGAGATAAGATGTGCGCCCCTGAGGGAGAGTTGGCCCAGTCAGAGTGAGAGGCCGACAGACATCCATGTTTCTCCTCCATCCTCCTCCTCTCCCTCGCATCCCTTTCATCAGCCCTTTTCTCCTCCTCATTTAATTATCGTCATCTTTTATTTCCATTTTCCATCATCCTCCTCTTTCTTTAGCTCATTTCCTGCCATAGAAAAAACCTGCTGCATTTGCAAATTGAACACATTTGATAAGAGGAAGAATTTATTGCACGTTTTTTTACATTATGTGTAGATCATATTCTGCACTTAAGTCATACCACATTTATGTTTTGGTGCATTTTCATTGTCTCTTCCTGTTCTCCTCAAAAAGTCTCATATTTCTATCATAATTACATTCATAGTATGTTTTCTTGCAATTATTGTTCCAGGAATTCATTCTGTGCATCTGTCTCCTTTTTCTAATCTCACCACCATTTCCCCTGTGGAACAATCCATTATGTTCGCCTCTCCTGGGAGAGACGGACAGAGGAGGAGAGTCTGCAGGTCCTGATTAAGTCTTGAAGCAAAATGTCACCTGTTCGAAAGTAAATAAATAAGATTTGTGTTATTCCTGAGCCACCAAGGACGTTTTGGACTGTGCTTTTGAAGGTGTTTCATTCTGGCCTAAAGCTTGAATAAAGAAGTGATGTACTTAAATGAGCATTACGTAATGTACAGTATTAAATATGTAACAAAGTGTCCACAAAGAGCAAAATACAGGTAAAGAAAACCTCGTCAGTGTCAGTGGTTAAAAGTACATTTATGTTATTATTATATATATAT